GAAGAGCGTTTGGACAGGGTGTCACAACCCCCGACAAAGGTGTTGTCCAAAGGGAGCTCCTGAATCACATGATGCTTTTTCACGGAAACTGGAGTGTCTGGTTTGAGATGAAAAGCAGGCTGTGGAGAAGCAGATTTGTAGTGCTTGGCCAGGTCAGGGCTGTTAGGCTTGAAGGTGGTTGGAGGTGCCGGGCCCCAGTCAAATCTTCCTATACTTTGCTCCTCCAGCTCAGCCGGCAGGCTAATTGTCCCATTGATAGGTTCGTGAACGGCATCGTCAGGTTTGGATTCTTCAATAGTAACAAAGTTCAAAAGGGAGCTCTTGGGAGACTTTCTTTTCTTCCTTTTCTTTTTCTTGTTTTGTTTGTTCTCCTGGTTTGGGGACATCCATTCGGCACCTTGCTTGCTTCTCTGAGCTGCTTTGAACCTCGAGGCATGGCGACAACGCACCAGAACGGTGACGAAGATCACAACGATGACCACCATGGCGCCTGCCACGATGGCAATCATGATGGTGAGATAGTCCTCATTTTGATAGGGCTGGCTACTATCCCCTATGTTCCTGTCCAACGGGGTCTCCATAGTCCTGCGGATCAAGTCATAGATGTAGGAGGCATTTCCAGCCGTGTCGTTAACGTAAAGGAATACAAGCACAAGTGTGTGCAGAGATTTCGGGTACCCCAGGTCACTTATGTTGACCACCAAACGGTGCAGGCCCACATCCGTAGGTGCCGGCTTCTCTTCCAGAGTAATGTTACCTGTTACTGGATCAATCCGAAATAAGCCTTTGTTGTTCCCACTCACTATTGTGTACTTAAGCTCAGCATTCATCCCGGTGTCAATATCCACTGCAAAAACTTCTGCTACCACGGAGCCAGGAATGGCTGAGAGGGGCACCAACTTAAAGGAAGTGTTAGATGGTGGAGAAATGACAACAGGGCTATTGTCATTGACATCCATGACATTGATAGTTACTTTTGCAGTAGAGGAACGAGGCGGTTGTCCTCCATCAGTGGCTTTGACATCAAAAGTGTAGGAACTTTGCTGCTCTCTATCAAACGAGACATTTGACTTTATGACTCCAGAATAGGGATCCAACACAAAATTATCATTGTCATTTAGAATGGAAAGAGTCACAGCTTTATTCTCTCCAGCATCTGCATCTGTCACTGTGATTACCCCCACAGTACTATACTTTGGCAGATTCTCAGACACAAAAAACTGAAAATGATTATGAGTAAACTTGGGGCTATTGTCATTCTCATCCAGAACAGTAACTATCACAGCCGCCTGGCTTTGGAGGGGAGGGGTCCCATTGTCCCTGGCAGTTACTGTAAAAATGAATCGTTCTTGTTCTTCTCTGTCAAAGACTCTGGAGGCTGTCAAAACTCCCGTCTTTCGGTCCAGATCAAAGAAGGAGGCATTAGGTCCAAGCTGATAAACAATGTCTGCATTTTTCCCACTGTCTTCATCTGTGGCACTAATAGTTGTTAAGTATAACCCACGTCGGTTGTTTTCAGAAACTGACAGCTCAATTACAGGCTGGTTGAAAATTGGTGGGTTGTCATTTTCATCCTCAAGCTTAACCCTTACCAGGGCAGTCTGATTTAAACTGGGCTTCCCAGAATCAGAGGCAACAATTTTAAAGCTGAATTCTTTGGTCCCTTCATAGTCCAACAAAGAAGAGGTCTCTAGCAAATATTGGTTGTCATACACTGCCTTCAAATGAAATGGGACCTCTCTCTCAATGAAGCAGATCACTTTGCCATTCACATCTGTGTCCTTATCCGAAACCGTAATCAGGGCGATCTTTGTATTGACAGGATCTTTCTCAGATAAATACACTGTGCCATTGATAGGACTTATAATGTACCTGAGGTCTATGTTAGGAGGGTTATCATTTACATCGGTGACATTGATGGTAACCGTTGCTCGAGCAGGAGTGGAACTGCCATCACTAGCCAGCACGGTCACTTTGTGAATGGCTGTCTCCTCTCTATCTAGGGACCTCTGAACTGTGATCAGCCCAGTAGTATTATTTAAAGCAAAGAGTCTTTTGGTTGCAGGGGCGACCTGGGCACCAAAAATGTACCGGATTTCAGCATTACTGCCGATATCTGCATCAGTGGCATGGAGCTGAATTACAGAGGTCCCCACAGGGGCATTCTCTGGAATGTGCACCTCCACTTGACCCTCTTTAAACACTGGCCTGTTGTCATTTACATCACTTACTGTGACCTGCAGTATGGCCGTGCTGGATTTCTGTGGAGTGCCTCCATCCTCGACTTTGATTTTCATCACATACGTGTCTTTCTGTTCTCTATCCAAGTTTTGCTGAACAATCAATTGTGGCCACTTCTCTCCCTCCGGAGTTTCCACGATATCCAGTCCAAAAACACTCTGCCCATTTAACAATTCATAATGCTGTACCCCATTGAAGCCTGTGTCAGGATCTGTGGCTGATGGAATGGGAAAGCGGCTGTTGATCAAAGTGTTTTCTGGAATGGAAATATTGATGACAGGAGATGGAAACATGGGGGCATTATCATTGGTATCCTTGACAATGATTTTTATTTTGATCAGCCTGAAGAAGTCATTGGGGAGGATCACCACCTCAAGTTCAAAGAAACACTCATTCTCCTCAGCATAGGAGGCTCCGGCACAGAGTTTTTCTCTGTCTATTCTATTGGAGGTTGTGAAAATTTCCCCAGTGCTGCTGGATACTTTCACCAAAGGGGCATCCCCAGCTTTAGAAACCAGTCTGTAGACAAGGCTGGCACTGGTCCCTGTGGCAGCATTGATGTGAGAAATGTTCAGGTCCTTTGGTATGTTTCCTATGGGCACATTTTCAGGCAATTCCTCTCTAATAGTGTAAATAAGTTCTTGAGCTATTGCGGAATCCAGCCTTAAACAGGCAATCAGAGCAGCCAACAGGTAAAAATCCCTCAGGTCCATGATAATGTATCTATTTTCTTTTCCTGGATTTTAGGGTTTAAAGGTTTCCACTGAGGAATGCTGCACGACTTGCAAGAGGAAGCGTGCCTGGACAGGAGGATGCATTACAGCTCATCACTTATTTGGAGACAGCCACTGTCAACACAATCGTATAGACAATATTATTCTTCAGTAAATACAAACACACAGTCATGAAATAGCACAACACATTTTCCGCTGCGTATTAGTAAACATGGCAGTTTGCTCTGCCACTGTTTGCCAAGTTAACTCTGTGGATAAAAAAAAACACTAAATATCCTCTGCTTGTTGCATTTGCCCAGAGAAAAGGAAATTGTCTACTTTGAATTAAGGACAGCTGCTATTTTTACCTGGGTTCACCCACGTTGTTTTTAAAAACACTGTTGATTTCAAAACATGCATTCTGGTCCCCTTCTCCCCCTCCCCCTGTCTTACCCGCCTCCTGGCCTCTAACCCACCTCCCTCAGTTTTTTTTTAGGTGCAAGTGAAAAACCTAAAGTATTTAGCTACAGTTACTGCTAATTGCTTTGTCACATGTCAAATGTGGTGTGTTTTCTTCTCTGTTACACTGAGTCATCTCTTCCTTTTAAAACGAATATCTTGTTCTTTTCTCCCAGTTCTTCAACTGCCTTCTAATACAATCTTACTGGGAAACGAGCATCCGGACATGCTGCTGCAGCATCAGAAGCAATAGTCACCGGCCACTACGTATCCTCGTTGCCTAAAAGCACAACACCAAGACTTCCAAAATCTTACCCACAGCTTGCTCTCCTTTCTCCATATTGCCAAATTATCCCCCATAGAATTAATAAGCACATTAAAACTTTTGATAATATACAATAATACAGGATCCCTTATCCTAGAGGTGGAAGAGAGTGCAGAGATGCAAATGAAACGCAGCTAACATTCCCATGGAACAGCACAATATTTTCTACTGAGCCTAAAAGAGGACAAAATGCAGTTTCTTAACCCTGATCTCTGGTTATAATACTAGTAACATTTGCTACACATGAATACTGCAACCCAATAATGCAGGTAAAAAGGCTCTGCTTAGATGCTCCCCTAACTGCAATTTAAATGGGTGCAAAGCCCCAGGCTGCTACCTCCTTGAGTAGGACTGGTCAGTTCCCAGGCTCTCATCTTATCTGCATTAGGCTGCACGGTAGCTGATGCCCGCGATTAGTTCCGGCAGAGTGATGCAGGTAGGGATGCAGATACAGCCGAGTAGGTGAGCTCTGCCCCAGCCGTCTGCCCAATTACAAACATCCCTCATCTACACAGAGGACATATCTAAACACAGAATTTACAATTGTGCATGCGAAACTTTACACTTACGTTAGTTGTCTCAACCTTTCCCGGAATGCTGCAGTTAGGAATGATTTGTTCCAACACATAGAAAGCCATGCATCTGGTAGCACCAGTTTGGGGAGAAATCAGAAGCAGCAAAACGTTTCCTCCTCGTAAAATGTGTTGCTTCGGGCTGGCAAATTAGCAACTCTAGAGAACAAATTCACAGATTTGTCGTTAGTCATTCTCTCCACATTTCGTCTCTTATATACACCGGGTCTGGGTTCTTCTCGTATTTGACACACACACAACATCCAGTTGCACTTCTTCAGCTCAGGGTATGTTCCACGGTATCAAATATACCATTTGCATCCGATGTCTATACTGCTTAAGTCTCTAACTTCTTGTAGGAAACATCAGAGTTGGGGTGATGGTGATCTCTGGCTGCTCTCCGGGATGGTAGCTGCCCGAAAAATTCCTAATCGGTTATCGCTTTCGTGCTTCAGAGACTCTAAAGGCGCTCCTTCCCGTCTTGTAGACTCTCCCCCTCTCCCTTCTTCTCTGCCCCTCTCTCCTTCTCCCTCTCCTCTCTCTCCTCTCTCTGAACTGAATTTCTTGATATAACTCTCAATAAGCCCAGAGGGAGGGCGTGACGGCCTGGGCCCCTCCCCCGGCTGCTGATTGGCCTGCATCTTGCGGTGCGGGCGGTCGCAGCCCGGCACGAGGGAGGGGGCGCAGAACAAGGCGCTGACTGTCTCCCAGCCTCCCCTCCTCGGCGCCCCCTCGGCAGTCGCGAAAACCCGGAGATCTGATCCCAGCCCCGGGAGAGTCGGGTTCCAAGAGGTGCACTGAGCATGCCCAGCAGGGTTCGCCCTGAGAAAGATGCGCTGACGCTCCCCGGGCAGGCGCTGACGCGGAGCTTGCTGGCGCTAAGCGGGGTGGCGAACCCCCAGTCCCGGCGGTCAGGCAGGCACAGCGGCGGCTCGGGGATTCGGCACGTCACGCGGCGGCGGATCCGGGGAACGTCGGACACCTCCGTGGGTGGATGGGTGTCAATGTGGCGTCTCGTCTCTGGGCGCACATTCCCATTTCTCTTTGCTAAGTGGAGGGGCCAAAATGCACAGATGGGAAAGTCAACTGGGATGCAAGGCGAGAGACGCCTGGCCGCCCGTTAGTGAAGAGCCTGAGCTAGCAGATCCCCGGAGCGCGTTAAGCCGACCACATGCCCGGTGCTGCAAATAGAGGCTTTAGCTGGCGGGGACATTGGCGAGAAGGGCAGAGAGGGCGGGTGGTGAGAGGTGGGGGTAGCTGCGTTTTGGATCTCATTCGAGACCGGAAAGAAAATTCATCTGAGCACTTCTACGTGCAGGGTCACAAAAAGCGCTGAGACAGAGGGAAAGTTGCAGCCTCTGAGATGCCCTTGGGCAGTTCTGGCCCAAGTGCTGTGCGCGCCAAGTCTCCTCTTGGAGGGCAGGACCGGCCTTTGCAGCGGATGGTGGGTTGTCTCTGCGTACCTGCTCCCGCAGCGCCCGGGAGCCTGAGATTCCGAGCTCGCCTGGACTCGCGGCTGCGGCAAAACCCGCTTCCAGTTCTGATAACTGCTAACTTTGCTTCGGAGGCTGGAAGGAGTCCCGCGCAGCTGTTTTCCAAGCTGTGGAATACTTCCTCTCTCCCTATGCACTTTCTGCTGATTCCAACTTTACAGTAAAACCTGCCTTTTTCCCCTGCGGTTCAGTTCCCTGACTGCAGCTCTATAAAACAGCTCACACGTTTCTCATTTTCATACAAGAGCCGCATGGAATGACTCCTGGAAGAATTAACCTTATTCCTTAAATGCTGGCTCCCAAACTCCTGTCTGTATTTGATTGATCTTTTAAAATAAGTAAGCCACGAAGGTTTGTGGAATGACTTATACTTACAACACCAGAAACCTGAGTAAAGTTTGAGGCATTACCATAACAGTTCACTTGGAACAAAAAAATTATTTTTCTCAATGACCTATAAAGGTTGCCTGAGAAGGTCTTAATGCATGCTTGAATAACTTGTTCTCACTTACAAAGAAGAATAAAGGGCATTTATTTTCACCTCTGTGCTCCCCGTTCTGGACTAGATATTCACTATGGTAGCATGTTGGGGAATGTCTTTTGTTTTGGAATACAATGGATTTCTTTTGCAATATGAACATTTACTTTTATATGTTTAAGTTGAAAGTTAAAAAGATACTAATCAAACTTGCCAAACTATGTATTATATAAATGAGTCCATCTTTACCCAACTTATTTGACACCACTGTCTCCTCCTGTGAAATTGTAAGCTCTTCCTTTTTTAATTCAAACTTTTCCTCAGGTGAATAGTCACAGTAAACCTGCAGTTTATAAAAGACCAGCGTAAAAATTCGTGAATCCCTTATATATGTAATATAAAGCACTTCAGGCAATAGGCTGATACTGTTTTTAAGTAGCCCAACAACTCTTAGTTGTAGTAATATTTTGTATAATTAGACTATACAAAATTTAAGAGTAAAAAGGACTGTATAAATAACCAAAAAATTGAAGAAAAATATTACATCAGACAGTAAGTCCAGTGAATTAAAGGGCGATCGTTTTATTTTACTTCAGTGAATGATAATGTTATCATTCACAACATCTGCAATTAAAGCTCATGCATTGTTTTCACCTATTTCGTGGTCTGAACTATTTTTTAAAAATAAATGAACCATCATTCTGATATATTTACATAAGGACAGCAGCACAGCCACTATCCAGTTCACTTTATAAGCATCACCATTATGTTTTTTTCTAATCATACTGTAGTCATTTCAGAGTCACTTTGTAATTGCAACGCCTACCTTAAAAATGATGTAGCACCAATTTTCAACAAAACTGTTTCTGTTTGCTGAAGGATAGTTACACAGGGAGCCAGAACTCACAATTAACCCATGCTCATAAATGAAATTTTAGTATGAACTCAGAATGAAGGTTAAGGAAGAGAAAAATCACATGATTAAATCTATGAGACTTCAATTAAAGGAAACCACAGGTCACAGCCTCAGAATGAAATATGTAGTTTTGTTCCAAAGGAGATTGTATCTAAAATAAGATGAGCGTGTTCAGGGCATTTTATTTTCTCGGTATTTATTTGGCATATCTGAATTACCAAGATTCTTTAATCATATCAATTTTACTTCTTAAAGCTAGAATACTCGAGGCTTTTTTTGCCCTCCTCTATTCCACCTGCTTAATTCTAAGGTGAGGAGTATTATGAGAGACCTTATTAAGATTCCTGGGAGAAAATTAAATATAAAGGGTCATATATCTAACCCTCTGCAATCATAACTTGAGGCTTCTGCCCCCAAACACTATATAACCATCTGCATAATAAGAGTGGATCATAATCCACCTCTCCTACTCTTTTTAAAAATCATATCTATATAATTATGATTTAAAGCTATCTTCATTAGTTTCAGTTTTGTAAGGGTGTTTCTCTTGCTTGATATGCTGCATCTTATCATTTTTAATGAGTTTAATAAGATACTGGGTTTCAATTGCATGACTTTCAATACAGAGCTCATGTAACTACAGACACTTAGTTAACCCTCATTTACCTTTGTCAGTGCATATTTACTACAGCAGGGCATTACGATGTTCTCACCTGGGATGTACTCGATCAGTACTTTAGGAGTTATGCCATAGGGGATATAGTAAAATAATGTTGTGTTCCCTGGTGGTCATGTAGGTTATGGGACACTCGTGAAACTCGGTCACTTTTGATGAGCAAACTGAAGACTAAAATGCTATTTGTGATAAAGACAGAACCAGATGTTAAATGAATGAAATTATTTTATATTCCACAAATTTGGTGGTGTTCATATATGTGTGTGTATGTGTATTCTATGTATACACACACATACACACACATATATTTAAACAATTTCCATGTAATGACATTACATAACCTTCATTACTAAGCAGTTCAGTTTGCTAACTGGATTTTAGTCCATGATTTTCCAGGTATCCCTCAACATTTAAAAAGAGACTGCAAGGCTTTTTCTGCAAATTACATTTTATATAAAAGACATAGACAGTGCTATTTAAAATGATCAAATGACCTTCTCAAGGATTTCAAGACTAATATTTTCAATTCTAATAACTCTACTTTTATATTCCAATCAAAGTTAAAAATAAAATAATACTTCCATGCCTTGGACTTCTAAAGTCCTTTCCCTCCAGATGTCTTCTTGTGTGTAGTAGACATTAATCAATCAATCACAGAGCTTCTTATGGCTCAGCGGGTATTATTGTTCCCCATTTCACAGAGACCAGAGAGTATTGCACTGTACTTCCAGAGAGAGATTGTGCTAAACATGCTAAGGGTTCTTTGTGTTATCACAGTTTAAAAGATGACAATGCAGAATTTTAACACCACAAAAAGGAAATTAACACCTTTTAAGGCTGTGCAAACTGGCAAAGTATAGTAAGCTTCTTGAATAATTCTTTTGCTTCACTATTTATTATTAGCTCTTTCCTTTTTGAACGTGGTTCTTTGTTTCTTTCTCACTTTTGTTAAAAGAATACATAGTCCGAGTAATCAGATCACAGAGGAAAGCAGGTGACAACCTTCATTCTGTTTGAATGACAGAACTCAATGTATCCCAATTTGCTATATCTGTATGACTGACAACAAGTACAGATGTCAGGTTTGTAGACCTATTGGTTACCACAATACAAACTGACACTTTCCGGTGCTACTCTTTTATCATGATCTCTATCTAAAGAAAATACTAGATTTTCAAGATTGATTATTGCTTATTTATGATTTCAGATTATACACAGATATAAGCGTTTATAACAAATGTTTTCTCCATCACAAATAACGCTCAAACAAGCACTTTGAAAATGATGAAAATGAAGTTTCAAGATAAAAGAAAGAAGATAAATTTATATTCCTCAACCTTAATAATCGGATTATATTGAAGTCTTGTAATGTCAAGTGAAATAAAGTATGAAAAACTTTCTACAATTTGTATTCATATGATATTTATTTGTCTAGGTGAGATCAGTTAGACTAATA